TACGCATCAAGATTTTTTCAATACGAATATTCCAAGTTTCATAAAGATTGGATTGATCCATTTTAGATTCTGAGCGAAGCGATGAATGTATTGATTTTACAATGATTTGTGTTTTTTTTTTTATTTTTTTTAAATTTTAGATTCTGAGTGAAGCGATGAATGTATTGATTTTACAATGATGTGTGTTTTTTTTTTTTTTATTTTTTTTTTTTTTTTTTGTGTCTGTGTACACGATAAGTAGTCGAAATAATGCTTCGATTTTCGACTTCAGTATCTCGTTCGATGGGAAAGTGAATATCGTTGGTGCATTGGGGAGGTCAAAATTTAAATTTCCCAGTAGTTTTCAAAAGCGACGTGAAAAACAAAAGAAAAATTAAGGAAAAACGGGAATTTTTACGCAAAATCAATATTTAACAAAATCGATTTTGGTTATTGGTGTAACTCTAAAACAAATGACCGTAGATGCATGAAATTTTCACTGGTTGTTTATATTTGCATTTTCTATACACGATAAAAATTTTAAAATAATATGATTCTTTTTGAACTGTTTACGGACATTGTCAGTTTTCAATTTTTTTAGTTTTTTTTCCTATAAATATCAATAAAATTTTATTTGTTGGGTAAAAAGCTTGAAAATTTAATAGAAGACTCCTAGATTATTGTTTCAAAGGAAAATTAAAAAAATTTAAAATCCTTAGTCACCGTTTTTATTTATAAGTATTTAAAGTTCAAATTTTGACAAAATACAGAAAAATCACGAAAATTAGCAATTTATTTTGAGTTGAGAATTCATAAAAATTTTTCTTTTTAAATCTAAGATTTGAAAATGTAATACAAGATTCCTCATAAGTTTGTCTACCTTTATCAAAAAAAAAATGTCTACAAGAAAGTCAAATTAAATTTTTATGAGCGTTTGAAATTCATATTTTTACAACATTTGATATTCACTCGATATCTCATGTAACGATTTTCTTATTTTGTTTTAATTAAAAAACGTATGACTGTAGATACTTGAAAATTTCACTGAATGTTTGTATTAGCATTTTCTATACACGATTAAATTTTAAAAATAATTTGACTCTTTTTGAGCTGTTTACAGACATTGTCAGTTTTCAATTATTTTAGTTTTTTTTTCTATAAATATCAATAAAATTTTATTTGTTGGGTAAATTAGCATGAAAATTTAATATAAGGTTCCTGATATATCGTTGTAATAGCAGTTGAAAAATATTAAAAATACATATGCACAATTTTTTTTTTTATCAAAATATATCAAATTTATAAATTAATAATTATTTTGTAGTTAAAAATTTATAAAATGATCAACTTTTAAAGCTAAGGATTGAAAATTTAAAACAAGGCTCCACGTAAATAGGTTATAATATATAAATTAATTTATTCACAATAATATATCATCAAATATACTTGGAAATATCACAGGCTGACTGACCGTTTTAGCTCAAAATCGTTTTTCTTATACAATGATATTATATCATTGAATTCAAATTGAACACCATCCATTAAAGTGACCAACTTGTCACATACTGTACAGCAGAGCGACATCCACTTACCCACCTTTTTTTATTATATACCTACACTTCAATTTGAAAAATATAAATATGTTTAATATAATAATATTATTTATGTATATTTATTTACATAATTAATATTATTTAATTATAATGTTGTAAAAAGCTATGGTATTGATTAACACTCTGTATTTTACAATTTAAATAAAAATGAAATAATAAATAAAAATTATCATTGTAGGTGAATATCCAACTTCTGGAAAGATATGTGAAGCTTTGAAGACAAAAATTAATTTTGAAGGATCTAAAACATCCGTGAAAAGAATTCTGCAATCCTTACACTTTAAATATAAAAAGTGTAGCAACGGTCGGAAATTTTTAATGGAACGGAACGATATTGTGGCGCTTCGAAACACATTTTTAAGGAAAATGTGTACTCTACGTTCGAGCGGTGACACTAGACCTGTTATTTATCTAGATGAAACTTGGGTGAATCAAAACCACTCGAGAAATCATATTTGGCAAAATGAATTGGATCGTGAAGGATTTAGAGTGCCTATTGGTAAGGGTGGTCGCCTTATAGTATGCCATGCTGGAGCAGCTAAATTTGGTTTCATTTCTGGCTCTAAATTAATTTTTAGAAGTAAAAATGACGGCGACTACCATTCACAAATGAATAGTCAAATATTCCATGATTGGTTTATAAATATGTTACAATTGTTAGAAGAGCCATGTGTCATCGTTATGGATAATGCTCCATATCATAGCGTTTTAGTGGAGAATGTACCAAAATCAAGTACGAAAAAGGCCGATGTTCAAAAATGGCTGACAGAAAAAGGTATAGAGTTTTCCCTGTGTGAAACTTTGGCTGAGCTCAGAGAGAAGATCAAAATGGCAAGACCACGAGAGAAACGCTACCAGTTAGACGAGACGGCATTTCAAATGGGACATGAAGTAGTTCGACTTCCACCTTATCACTGTCAATACAACCCGATAGAGTTGATTTGGGCTCAAGTGAAAGGAGAGGTGGCTTCCAAAAACACCACATTCAAAATAGCCGATGTTGAAAGACTTATGCACGAAGCCATAGATGCTGTCACTCAAAGTAATTGGGAAAGATGTGTAAGAGATGCAGAAAAACTTCAAGAGGAAGATTATGCAAAAGAAGGTTTCAGAGATCATATAATGGAACCTATAATTATGACAATTGACTCCGACGACAGTAGCTGTAGTAGCGACGAAGAAAACGACGATTAACAATTTTTTATAATATTTTTTTTTTTATTTATTTGATTTTTTTTATATTATTAATTATAAAATAGCAGTTATCAAATTTATGTAAGGTATTTTTTTTTTATTGAGTACAATTATATACATTTTATAAAAAAAATATACGCATTGTACAATGTACATATAATATATGTACATATTATGTGTGTACACGATTAATTTCAAAATTTAGGGGGGAAATAGTTTACCAACCACCGACGCAAAATTGCCACGAGGCGCGCAGCGGTCACCCGCACGTTTTCGTGGACCGTACTGTAGTATCTATATCCGTGGTCTATACCACGGACTAAGATATAATGGACTGGAAACGAGCAGCTTATCAGTGGCCTCGAAAGTATGTACAAGAAGCAAATGCGGGGGGTCGCAACCATAATCCAGAGTTTACAGCGCCATCTGTATAAAACACGGACTGAGATACAAAATATGACGCTAAATAAAACCACTGGTAGCGCTGAAAACTTTCGATTATGAGTGTTGATGATAACAGAGGAACCTTTTGCGGGCCGTCCCTCGTCACCCGCCCACCTTGTCGTTTCCAGTCCATGTCCATTATATCTTAGTCCGTGGTCTATACCGACCGTATAAAATTATGATGATGTTATTGTCGCCGTTGTTGATATAATCCGCTAGGAGCGCGACGCTCTGTTCGCCTTAATTTTCAAGTTCACCACCCGTCACGCCGTCACGGAATACGGATTGACCATTAAAATAGTAAATTTGTCTCCTTCAAAATTAGAATACATTTTATAGTGTTGATTAAGTGAATTAAGTTGTTGATTTGTTAATTAAGAAGTTAATTTGTTCCGCATGAAAAATGCCAGGACATCGCTGTATTGCCCCCGGTTGTAATTCCGGTTATGATTCTTGTAAAGAAAAATATCATTTTTACACAGTTCCCAAGGATGATATTCAATTACGAGAATGGACAAAAGCAATTCCGAGGAAAGACTTTTTAATAAAACCTCGTCAGGTGGTTTGTGAACGGCATTTCCACGAAGAAGACATTTTAAGGAAACGAATAATGACTGACAAAGATGGGGCAATTTTAGCTGAGGTATATTTTCTATGTCTATTAGCTATAAATAGGTACCCTACCTATTGGCTAATTTAATATTTACTTATAAGCACAATCTAATTAAAACAAATACAAATTCAATTGCATTAAGTAAAAATATGAAATATATAGCAATTGTATTTCCTTGTTATTCTAAAACACCAAACATATTTACATCATTGTAATTGTTACCATTAGGCACCAGCCAGTACTTTTAGTAATTAATAAATATACATATTATTTTAGAAATTAATAATTATCATTTTTCAACAGGCTGTATATAAAATTCCGAAATTAAAAGAAGGAGCTATACCGTCAATATTTCCAAACTGTTCAAAATACCTATCCTACTCTTTAAAACGAAGGAAATTACCATTAATTAGAAGTAGCTCACCTAAAAAAAAGAAAACCGACAAAAAAAAAGACCCACAATTGGATTGTGCATTCAATTCTAAACCGTCAATAGAAATTGCTATTACTGATTCTATTAATGATTCAGTAGGGATTTTCTCATTCTCTAAACTTCAAGAAAATTTTAACAGCATTGTTTTTCCAAGTGGATGGAGCAGGCATGACATTCCTGGAAAGTTGATAATGTTTTCTTTTTTTATTGTTAGAACAGAAGAAACAGCAAATACAGAAAATTATATTCCCACTCCTATTTTATATAAAAGAGTATGCTTAGGAGTAAATTTAAATGTTCAATGTTTTGTTATGAATATATCAGTTAATAACGACCTTTTTGGATTAAATTGTATTAAAGACTTAGAAGATATTTTAAAAAAATTTGATACTAGTGTCATTTGTAAAGGATATAAATTAAAAGAACAACTTCTACATTCTAAAACAACATTTACAGATCCGGCTGGTAATATTAGACATATCATGTGTCCACTCATCTTGAACCAAAATAATGACTGTAAATATTGTAACAAAGCTATACGGACTATTATGCGCAAAAGGCTCCGTTTACAAAAAAATAATACTACCCAAAGAGAATTCATATTTTATCTAGTTCCAAAGTACAACAACTTCGTAAAAATCACAAATTAACATTGCAAAGGAAATATCGAGCTGTAATACTCAATAAAAAGCTAAAAAATAAATTATTTAATATGCAAGGTGAAATGTCAAAACTGACCACAATGAATCTTGAAGAAAGGCTAACAACTAATAAGATACCTACTAATCAACGGGTTGCCTTACATGAAATTTTGTCCGCATCACAAGTCCTCAATTTAAAAGGTCGCAGATATTCCGAAGATTGGATCCTTTTATGTTTACTATTTCATATGCGTTCACCATGTGGCTATAATTTTGTTAGAAATAATGACATTATGCCATTACCTTGTGTAAGGACCATAAGAAGGTAATATAATAATATTACTTGTTTAAACATTTTTATAAATTAAAATCATGTTTAAGGTACCTATCATCTATCGATACACAATGTGGGTTTGATCCAAAATTTCTACAGATGTTTTCTCTTTATATGGCACAAAAAGAAGAATTTCAACGCCATGGTTTGCTCGTGTTTGATGAAATTTCCACTCGCGAGAGTATTGCAGTTAACTCGGCAAATCTTACATATACAGGTAAACAATGAAACACAGATAAAATTGGTATTTTCTCATATTTTCTCATATTATTGAATACCTTACAGGTCTAGTCGATTTTGGTGAAGAAGGTGAGAAAGGAAAAACTTTCAGTGATAAAGCAAATCATGGATTAGTATTTATGTTCATACCATTAGAAGATAATTATGCCCAACCCGTTGGTGTTTTTGCATCAAAGGGACCGACTAAAGGTGTAGTACTAACTCAGTTAGTAATAAAAGCTATCACAGTACTCGAAAAAGCAGGAGCGTTTATCCATGGAATTGTATGTGACGGGTCAGCCCCAAATCGAAAATTTTGGAGCGAAATGGGAATATGTGGAAAAATTAATAAAGTTAAAAATTGGTTTGAGCACCCAACAGATGAAAAACGGAAAATATTTGTGTTCTCTGATACGCCACATTTATTTAAGAATATCAGAAATAGGCTCTATAATAATAAAGAGCTCAAGGTTTGTTGTTTTTTTGATATATTTTAATATCTAAGAGCAAATTCCACTAAAATTAAGTATTATGATTCTCAACCTCCAACACAAGCTTTATTGCTTACAGGAGGTTGATAACCCATATATTTATTACTGACAAAATGTTAAAATATGTTATATAATAAATGGTTCTTATTCAAAAAAAAAAAAAAAATTTAGTTTATATAACTATATATTGCAATACTTAAAAGTTAAAAATGACAATGGCTGGTCTATGTTGGTTATTAGAAATTTAATTTAATTTATTCATACCAATATCTAAATAGATTTTTGATTTCAAACATTATAGTAAACTGACCAGTAGTAGAATTTAATGATGAGAATATTTCAAAATGAATTTTGAAATCCATGTTTTTTTTTAAATTAAAGTTAAAAACTATAGATTCACTATGAACATTTTTAATAATGTTCAATGTCAGATCTTGGGAACAAAATATATTAAAAAGTAACCAGAATTCAAATTTTTAGATTCATGAAAATGAACTACCAGTAAAATGGGATCATTTTGTAAATGTTTACAATTTGGATAAACTGAATCCTGGGAATTTAAAAGTTTGTCCTAAATTATCTGCATCTCATATAGTTTTGAACAGTTCTGCAAAAATGCGTGTTCGTCTTGCTGTGCAGGTAGCATTATTATTCATTATTTTATTTTTATAGACATTTATTCTTTTAACTAATAATGATTATTTTATGTTATAGATTCTTAGTAACTCAATGGCAAAGAGCCTTGAGTTTTATCGCTCTTATAGTCCTCAGTTAAGCGATTCTACAGCAACTGAGAATTTTTGCTTGAAAATGAATGCAGCGTTTGATGCATTAAATCGAAAGCTAAAGAATGAAGGAGTGTCGCCAAATAGTGATGATTATAAAGTAAAATAATTAATATTTTTTTTTTTATCAAAATGATAATAATTGGTAATACATTTACCGTGAATGATTCAAAAAATATATTTTTTTCAGGTACAATTTTAATAAAATTAATATCAATAATTTTTAAATAAAACAAATCAGCTATAATATATTAAAATATCTAAATATTGAATAACCCATGATATAATCTCAAATATACAAAAACAACTTTTACAGTGATATGATATCTATGTCAATTTGCATTGATATTTAATGTTTTAAGTTACCATTAAACATTTAAAAAGTTAGTAAAATCTATATGCCCATTTAACTACCTTTTTAATTTTAATTTTAAATCAGCCATCAATGGATCGGATCTACCTTAAACCGTACAAAATGTGTAAGCAAAATTAATATAATTTTAATAATCATTGTATTGTTTCGGAGGAGCATATTTTCCTCTAATAATGGCTTTATGCTTAAAATTAGTTTACTTTGGTGATAACTAATTGCTTGATTATTAAATAAGTTTAATAAGGTCTTATATTTATTTAACAATTAATGAGTTGCATTTTAATCATGATCTTTATTCTATACAACCATAGGTATAGGTAATTTAACTATATGCAGTTTGCTTGCTTGAGTACCAACAGCTTATACAATCCTAGCAAATTATTAATTTAAATTGGCGTTTGGTGTTGATTTGCATTAGCTAAAATGTTTAAAATATTTTTATTCAATAGAATTAAACTATTTTGATGTTATTTTGCAGATTTTACAAAATACTCTGGAGTGGTTGAATGAATGGGAACAGCGTGTTATTGATAACAAAATAAAGCCAAAACACTTTCTTACCAATAATACTTCAGAAGGTCTAAGGGTAACTTTGACTTCCACTTTAGAAATTTGCACTTACTTAAAAGAAAAATATGGTATACAATACATTCTTACTGGAAAAATTAATCAAGATGATGTGGAAGTAAGAAAAATATAATATACTAAATTATGACCATTATTAAAGTTTAAATTATTACCTATTTAGCGTTTTTTTGGTACAATTCATATTAAAGTTATATTAATGCTGCAGCATTTTCCAAGTATAACAATGACTGTCCATCTTTGAATATACAGGGATTCACATATCTAGTTGGAGAAATTTTCCTTGAAGACTTTTATCCATTAAATAGGTTTGTTAAATTTTTTTATCATTGCTAATATCTAATAATTTTATTTATTTCTGCTTAATACATGTTTAGATATTTTCCTAAAAAACCAACACAATATCTCGCAAAATTAAACCTGGTGATCCATTCACTGGATTTGTAATTCCTTATGTAAAGTGAGTATGCATGTAAAAGATATATTAGGATATATTTACGTACATATTGTTAACAAATAATCAAATAACAAAATCTTTTGTAGTGAAATGAAGAGATTCAAAAAATATCCTTTTGCAATATTGAACTGGTTGGAAAATCCAATGTCTGAAGATACAGATTACGAATTGATTTTAGAACTCATATATTACAATTGTAACAATAAAGATGATGGTGCAATACTTGTGTTTCTTTTTGGATGGGATCAAATATCAAAACTGACTAAAATTTTAAAAGACTAAGGCTTTGGTAACACATGTAAAGTATATTGTATAAATGTAGAATTTCATAAAAATGTTGATATCTGTTTATAAATATAATTTTTTTATTTTGTAAGATCATATTATTCACAAACATAGCAGAGACTTCAGTTACCACAGACGATGTAGTTTATGTTATTAATAATGGCCGGATGATATTAAAAGGATTCGATGCAGAGAATAACATTGGACCTCTTATGAAGAATGGGTGAGCTTAGCTAATTGTAGACAGGGTAGAGCAGGTCGTGTAAGTCCAGGTATTTGTTATCATTTGTATACAAGAGGACGTGAAAGATCATTTAATGATTATGTACTGCCTGAAATGATATTGATATGATGAAATTGCAGCTGGTTCAAGCTGCAGAATTTAAAATTAAAATGTTGGAATCTCATTCAGCATTAAAAAAAGTCTAATGAAAATTTAACAGCTAGAGTTGAAGAACTAGCATCTCAAGTTAAGGATTTGCATGAACAGGTTTTATATTAATTTTTAAATAGATAGTTTCCAAGTATTAATATATTATTATATTTTAGGTTCATGCAGCTTTAGGAGCAGAGGAATTAGTTGACCTTCTGGGTTAACAAAAATTGAATTTGGAAGATAAAGTGGTAGAATTAGAGAAAGCAGCGACTGATCTAGAAGCGATACAAGATATTAATGATCAACTCCAAGAAGATAGTACAGAGGTGAAAATGCAATTACATAAAGAATTAGATATGGCAAATGCTAATATTAGAGAGGTTTTAAATAGAATTAATAGCAAACATTTTATTTTTATTTATACTTAAGTCTTATTTATTTTAAAGTGTGTCAAAGAAAAAGAACGAGCATTGGAAAGTTTAGCTGATTGGAATTTGGTTATTGTAAAGCTTAAAGATCTGGTTAATAAACTACGAGAACAAAATCAAGATCTACAAACTCAATTAATGAGAGGATCTGCATCAAAAGATGAAGTTCGGTCATCAATACCAGAAATGCTTGACTTTAAGGTTTACTATGAATTAAAATATTTATTATATGAAAAAATAATTAAAAATATATTATTTATTAGAAAAAGTTTGTTTTGTATTAATTAGATGAAACACAACAACAATTAAAAAGAAAGTCAAAAGAATACAATGAAACGATGGACCATTTGCAAGCAGATATTGATTCACTAGAAACAGAAAAAGGAGATCTAAAAAATAAACTTAAACATTTCTCAAGGAAATTCTTGTTGAGCTTATAAACAAGTGAGTTATACTTTTAAGCTGTAATTAAAATATAGTTCTTAAATTTGAGTTGCATAATAATTCCATATTTTTTCTTTTCAGTGACTGCTACTCGAAATGATAGTTATCAACCATACCAAGAATCTCCATTCTTACTTAACGAATTAGAGTTAACCAAAATGGCATTAAAACATGAAATAGATCAAAGAGCCAAGCTTGAAAATAATTATTGTGAACAAATATTTTCTCAATTAAAACCTTTGTTTGTAAGTTAATACACTTATTTTAATTTATGAAATAACAATATTATAGTAATGACTGATGAAATATTTGTTGCAATATAATAATCAAAATATTTTAGAAATTAAAACCTTTTTCAATTTTGATTTCTAGTTCAATTTAATAACTGCCTTGAAAGTTGGGTGGGTAGGTGGGTGAAATAATAGTGTATACTTCTGAGACCTGCTATAATATTACTAAACACATTAATGTCATTAAATTATGTACATTTAATTAGTAAGTTAGTTTAATTAGTTTCACAGTCATTTTAAGAGGACGTGTCACCCAAAGCTGTACGCATGCAACGACCGAGAGGATGCGCTGTTAGGTGTTTTCACGATCCGCAAGCGCGCGGCGTTTAAGTCACGCCTACTATTCGCAACCGGCCGACGGCGGCGACGAGTGCTCGTTCGGGACTTCGGGAGCGCCGTTTATTTGTCTATGAACGTTCGTCCAGTACCATTCGTATCATTATATAATTCAATATACGCAAATGCCGCCGTAATATTTTCAATACCCTCGCGTACCTACGAACTACAGATTATAAATTAAGATACTGTTTACTTAAATTTATGTCCCAACATGTAGACCGTAGAAACTGTATTATAACATAGCTTGATTTGAAGTTATTGAATTATTACTTATTTAAATATAATACTTATAGTAAAATCTAATAAATGGTAAATAAAATAAATACAGCGCAATTAAATTAATATTAATTTACCGTGTATTATTTTTTAAATTCAACTGTTAATGTTATATTAAAATATGATAATAAGTAATTACAAATATTTATTTAAATTAATAATATGTTTGTAGTAGGTATACCTATTACCTAATGTATACCTAATATAGTAATATAATAATTATAGGTAATCTACTCGTAATGATAATAATAATACTCTAAAATCTTTATTTATCATTCTGTAATTTTTAGAGATCGGGTACATTGACTGAGAAAAATAACTAATTTAAAATGTATAGTTGTAAAATATAATGATAACAAATTGTAACATAAATTTATTAAAAAATTATTTCTATAAGTAACTGTTAGTTTAAAATTACCTACTATACAAACTACTATATTATAAGTAATAAGTATTACACAATCCAATGAATTACAGTTTATCGAATGGATAAAATCAATAAATAGATTTAGTATGTGACCTATATTATTTATCACCTCATTTATATTTAAAAAAGAAATTATAATCATATTACCTATATTAATATAATAAAAGGGTAACGCGCAACAATTTCCTATTATTTAACCATGAAAAAAATTAATATTAGTTCAACAAGTATAATATAATTTATAGTTTTCTTTTTTTCTTTTTTTTTTGTGTCTGTGTACACGATAAGTAGTAGAAATAATGCTTCGATTTTCAACTTCAGTATCTTGTTCGATTGGAAAGTGAATATCGTTGGTGCATTGGGAGGTCAAAATTTAAAATGCTCAGTAATTTTCAAAAGCACCGGGAAAAACAACATAAAAATTAAGGAAAAACGGGAATTTTTACGCAAAATCGATTTTTCACAAAATTGAATTTAGTTTTTGGTGTAACTTTAAAAAAAATGACCTTAGGTACATGAAATTTTCACTGGTTGTTTATATTTGCATTTTCTATATACGATAACATTTTCAAAATATTTTGATTTATTTTGAACTGTTTAGGGACATTTTCATTTTCCGTTTTTTTTGTTTTTTTTCTAGAAATATCAATAAAATTTTATTTGTTGGTTAAAAAAGCTTGAAAATTTAATACAAGACTCCTAGTATATTTTTTCAAAGGCAGATGAAAAATATTAAAAATCCTTAGTCACAGTTTTTTTTTATAAGCATTTAAAGTTCAAAAATTGACAAAATATCGAAAAATCACTAAAATTAGCAATTTATTTTGAGTTAGAAATTCGTAAAAATTTTTCTTTTTAAATCTAAGATTTGAAAATGTAATACAAGATTCCTTATAAGATTATCTACCCTTATCAAAAAAAAAATGTATATAAGAAAGTCAAATTAAATTTTTAAGAGCGTTTGAAATTCAAATTTTTACAACATTGAATATTCACTCGATTTCTCATGTAGCGATTTCCTTATTTTGTTGTAATTCAAAAACGAATAACTTTAGATACATGAAAATTTCACTGAATATTTATATTAGCATTTCCTATACACCATACAATTTTGAAAATATTTTGACTCTTTTTGAGCTGTTTATGGACATTTACATCTTTCAATTTTTTTTAGTTTTTTTTCTATAAATATCAATAAAATTTTATCTATTGGGCCAAAAAGTGTAAAAAATTAATACAAGTCTCCTGATATATTGTTACAAGAGCAGTTGAAAAATATTAAAAATACATAGGCACAGTTTTTTTTTATAAGCATTTAAAGATCGAATTTTTACAAAATTTATCAAAATCTCGAAAATTATAAATCATTGTAATTAATAAATTATAAAATGTTCAGTTTTTATAGCTAAGGATTGCAAATTTAAAACAAAGGTTCTCATAAATAGTTCATACTGTAACCAAAAAATCTAAAAAATATATGAATACAGTTATTTTTTACAGAAATTTTAAATTCAAATTTGGACGAAATTACATATTAAAAAACCTAGAATAACTATTTTAGTTATTTTGTTGTGATTGAATAATGTTATTCGTGAGTACTGGAAACTTCTAAAGTGTGCTATTATATATCTATGATAGTATCACGGTATGTTGTTATCAGCACCTAATGGATATTGTGATATGATTAATTTGGAATTTATTATAGGTACCTACTACCTATTATAGGTCAATTTTTTTTCTAATACCATAGATATGTATACAATATTATGTCTTATACCTAGACTGACATACCA